TCACACTCACACTCACACTCACACACACACTCACACACACTCACACACTCTCTCACTCACTCACACACATACTCAGTTCCTCCTTTCAGAAACAGATATGACCAGGAGACAACACACTCAACTCACTAATAACTCTCGTATCAAATAGATGTCACACCTGAAACGTGATTTAGTTCATCTGTAAAAGTCTGATGTAACTGTGATGAGTAAGTCCAACTTAGTTTATTGTAATGTCTGATATAAGCTATAATAATAATAATAATCAGTAAAAGTACAAATAAAAATAAACTGCAAATTGCACACATTTGTTTGAGTCTAAATGTTTCCAAGTCTAGTTTGAGAATCATCTTTTCATAGATGTCTCCACCCCAGAGATCAAATATCACGTGTGAGTTTCTATTTCATCTATTATCTGAGTGTGGATCTGGCTGAAACCTGCAGCTGTACAGCAGTGACCTGAGCTCTGATAGAACACACAACACTCAGCTGTACTCTCATAAAGCAGCAGAGCAGCGCGTGGCAGACCCTCCTCAGTCTCTCAGGAGAAGCACAGCTGGATCTGCTGAGAGGGGTTTCTGGATTCTCCGAGAGGTTTCCTAAAGTCACGGAGAGGTTTGACCTCGTGGAGCTCCCGGGATCTGACTGAGATAAATCATCAGAGACTGTGAGACAATGGACACGAAATAAAAGATATGCATTTTGATTATTAAGAAAAAATACTGGCCGACTGCGCACGTCACGTGACAGGCCTCAGACAACATAGTGTACATTTATGTAGGCCTACCGTATAAGTAATGCAATAAAAGATTTGTTTAAATATCATATATTTAGTAATAATAATAATAATAATAATAATAATAATACGTTTACACTAAATATAGGAACGTAACAGTTTCATTAACAAATAAATACATAAATAGGCCTGGATGCGTGTTAACACACACGAGAGATTTGAGCTAAAAACAACAACAACACAAACTTAAATTCAGACTAAGCGTCCAAACTGCAGCTACTGAAACGCTTTTGGTGATCCATGCTTTTATTTTTATTTATGCAGCTGAGCATTAACATGTCATTTTGTCTCACCAAAATTATAATTATACTTCTTATAGGCCTAGTTATTAGCACAAAACTAGAAACACACACACAGAGAGAGAGAGAGAGAGAGAGAGTAGAACAGAGAAAATCGCTAGATAAAAATTAAATTATGAAGCAAAATTATTATTATTAGCCAAGTGTATTATTTAAAATTATTACTAGGCATGCTTCGAATTACATGCATGCTTAGACTAAAATAATAATAATACAAATAATAGCCCAGTGCATCGTTTTAAATTATTTTAAAGCATAATTTGCATGACCTACCTTTAATTTTATACAACAAAAACAACAACAATAATAATAAAAGGCTAGTGTATTGTTTTAAATCATTGTAAAGCATTATTTGAATGACATGAAATCTTACACAA